TCGGGCGGGCACCGACTGAAGGTAATTTTCTGAGACCTCCAGTCGATCTCGGGGTTGTGTTTAAATAACCAGTCGTATCCGATAAATACACGGGCCTTCCCGAGATTTGTAACCAAGAACTTTATTCGTTCCCGGTGGAGTCCAACTCCCATAATTAATTCTGCGTAATGCGTAATCCGTCCTCCAAGGTTCTCGGATCCGTCCGCATTCCGTGCGACAATTTTCTGGTCAAGCTCTCGGAGCTCAAAGTTTTCTGCTTTGGCGTACGCCCGATCAATGCACGTGGTAGTGCAGCCGTTGTCCAGCAGCGCCTTGATACGGCGTGTCTTCCCCGTGTCCAGAGACATCAGCTCCACTGACACCAGCATCTCATGCTGCTTCCGCTGCTTCTGGAACTCCCGGAGTTCCTGCGCTAATAGGTTGTCTGAGATACCCATCGCGCGTCGTGCAAGCCACCTGGCTGCCTCCTGCTTCTTGAGTCCAAAGGGGACTCGTGTGTGTTTTGGCGCTTCCCCCACAACTGTGGGTTGAGCCATCGCGGTAGCACCGCCCTTTTTAGCCGCACTATTTTTCTCACTGGTTTGGGTTCCAGGGGCCTTTTTAAATAAACTCCAACGCTTGTTCACTTCGTCCATTCTACGGTTTTTACATGTAATATTACGGATGCAATTCAGATTCTCTAAAATACGGATTTGTTTTTTGTCTTTTTCTACATCTACTCCTACTACTATATGGTCCTGTGTACGTAGAGCAGTGCGCTGTTTTATATAATTTACAAAAGAACTTCGGGTCTCGGTCGGTTCCACCTCAAGCGGAACATATTTATTTAGGGGAAGAGAAGCGGGGGGCGCCGATTCGGCCTTGATCGGGGCCCTCCTTAAAAATCCTGGCCATACATGGCCTGGGCCAGGTCAAAGAGGAATTTGAAATCCTCCTTCGACATCTCGTTCGTCCGCAGAGCGCGGACATTGATCTTTCCACGCTCCCGGCGTGGCTGTGGGCACTCGCGTGCCATGTGGCCTTCATCGCCACAGTTGTAACACTTGAAGGGTTTCCCCTTCGACTTCGAAGCATCCACGTCCATAGGGGCTACTTCCCCCGGACCGAGCTTCTTCGCCAAATTTGGCGCAGTTCCCCGGTAATTACCGCTGGGTGCGGGTGGGGGAGGTTTGGCGGGGACCCAGAACGGAGTCCCGGCCGCCTTCGGCTGCTGCGCCTTGCGCAGTTTCTGCCGCTCTAGGATGCGACTGATCGTCATCATCCTGGCCTTCATCCCGGCATAATCCTCCGGGATCTCTACGCCCCCGGCATAGAGCTGCGTGCGAACCTCCTCGTTGACGAGGTTCTCTAGGTTCTCGCACAGGAACTGGTTGTGGTGCCCGTGCAAGTCGTCGTGCGGGTCGTATCCCGCCTTCTCTGCGTTCAACTCGAGCGCCTGGATGAAGTCCGCCAAGGCGGTCTTCCCTTGCCTGGTGGTGGTAAGGCGAATGTACGCTGTCTGGCGCACATTGTGGTCCCTGAACGTCCTGCCAAGGTCGTCCAGAAAACCCTTGAAGGAATATCCTTCCGGTAGCTCGTCGTCCTCGTCGAGCACTCGCTTGCGCCAATTACGGACCCAGTTGGAAGCTGGGCTAGGCGCGCCGTCCTTGCTGCCGAGCAGCGAAATCGTGAAGGCAATTTTTGTCTTCGGGGTGCGAAACTCCGCCTCGTATGCCCAGATGTAATTTCCGAGCGCATCTTTCCAAGTGTCCCACTTGGACTTGTCGTTCCCGTCAAAGTGCGGCGGGAGAGAGGCGAGGGTGATCCGAGAGGATGAGATTCTCGGCGTGGGAGCAAGGGGTTCGGGGTCGTTCATCTGCACACTAGGCGCAGGGGATGGGGCACGGCTTGGCCCCTGGGATGCGGCGTGGTGAGACATGTCGGTGAGGGTCGGGAACGAGTGGTAAAGGTGTGTGGCGGGGGACGGTGAAGTGGGTGGCGCAGTAGGTGTGGGGAGTATCAAGGGAAGAGGCGGTAGATGTGTAGGTACGCCGTGAGGAGGAGGAAGTGGTGGGTGCGCGGAGGAAGACGACGACGACGATGATGACTCCGAAGAGCCAGTGCTAGAGGGTGCGCGGAACAGCGCGACTGGTCTTCTTCCGCACTAAGCGGTTGGTGGGGTCCGTATCGGTCTTTTGCAAACAGAACTATCCCGGGTCTTCTACAACACCCCCGGCGATAGCGGGATGGGCCTCTCCGAGGATCTGCCCAGTACCCCTACGACTGCTATTGTACTTGGGACGGACTCAACGTTTCCCGTGGTACAGCGTCTGTCTGTTATAGTGGTCCGATACGGGTTGTCGGAAATGGAGGAAAGGGAAAGGAGGTTTGGAACGAGTGCGCGAGCACGCGAGATGGTGAAATGGTAATGCTTACGCAAATAGTGCGTGGGTGGTGGTAAGGTGAAGTGGGGTGAGAGCGAGGTATGACGGTACGGGTGGTACGAAGGGGAGTCTTTTATTATGTCACAATCAAAGCCTTATCTCGTCCGACTATACAGAGATAGCGGATTGGGGAGTGAGATGCGCAGGACTTCGAGAAATGAATCGAATAAAAGACTAAGGAATACAAGAGACTAACTACTCTACTTATACTGTTCTGTGAACCGTCTGAATATGAATCGTGTATGTACTCGGTGCGTAAACCATGCTGCTGCAACATGTAGTGCCGGAATGTTCTGCAATGTTCTTTTACCATGTGTTTGCCAGGTGTTCAACTATCTAATCTAAGTCCATATCTAATCCCTTCGTTATCTCATCTGTGGGCGCTTCATTAGGCGCCTCCGAGATAGGTGTTGTCGCGATAAGATTGGAATCGAATCGTGACACACAGCGATTTTAAATGATTCAGACTGTGCGGATGCCGAGAACTCCGAGGTAGGTAGGTAGAATTACAGGGCCATGGCCCATGTCAGTTGAGGATCCGGTCAAAACGCGTTAATCAAGTTGCAAGAAAGAGGGAAAAGGGGGGAAAAGGGAAGGGAGATTAGGGAAACCATTGCATCACATACCAACAGTGTTTTCGGCCCAAATGCACTGTATCTTGAGTATGACACCTGGGAATTTCGCGAGTCCCAAGCCAAGTGTTGATGTATCAGTGATCTACAAGCCCTACAGTTGTGGACAAACAAAACGCGCCAAAAAAAAAGTTGAATATTTTAGCCGAAGTGAAGAGGGGAATCGATAGTCCTGTTTTTATCAAGGGGCTCTGATGGGGTCAGAAAGTTATTAGATAATCGTCGGAGTTTGAAACCCTGAGCGCGTCAAGCCTGTTCAAATACGCGTCGTTCTTGGTGGTGAAACTTCGCCTGCCTCCCTCAAGGCCTCCTAGACAGGTCTGCCACCTCAGAAGTGCCGAGTCAGTCCAAATCCATGGGTTTCGAACCGTGCGACCTTTCATCAAATGTGTCAGCAATTCCGGAGAAAATTCATTTGCAGTTGACCTGACCCCCCCAAAAAATACTGAGTTTCAGCCACAGGCAACCACTTTTAAAGGATGTCTGAATGAAATATTTGACTCTCAACCTGCGTGATTATTTTTTGGCGGCGCGTGATTACCTAACAACTTCCTGACCCGATCGGAGCCCCGCGCTTAATAACAGACTACAACACAGCGAGGAACGAGCGTCCCTGTGTTGTAGCGTCTGTCTAGGAGAGACTAGGGAATCGATAGATCTCGTCGAGGGCTACCGGCCCATATATAAATTGAGTGATTCTGGATTCCGATCCTCTTACCACCATCATCGAAATCCCGAAATCGTCGAATCACTCATTTCCTCGCCCAAACACCCCATTCACGACCTGTAAAGACGCCTAGAGCATCTTATACACCTAGTGACTGGAGCTGTTTGCGCCAGAAACGACAAATCCCGATTTTGAGTGATTTTGAAGTGTACTTCCTTCGCGCAATCGTCCTCGTGGGGGGTGATAGTCCAATAGAAAAGTGCATATACAACTATTCTAGTGAAATACCGGAGGAATCGTCGTACCTGTCGTACCTGCGTCTGAAAAACGTCCCTCTCACTACGCGGGCAAACGGGGGAATTTGAGCTCACCAGCGCGTAGACCCCCAAAATCCTGCCACGTCAGTTCCGTCGGGCCGTCGTGAGAGTCCGTCGGCACTACTGACTGAGCCAACCTAAGCGATACCCCGACGAGCTACGAGTGGTAGATAGATAGGTCGAGGAGCGCTTTCTGAAAGTATTTTCAAACAAGTGATTCAACCTTCCTAACCTCTCAACGCAGCTGAGGTCGGGTTCCGGGCGGTGACTATTTTGCGAGTCCATTTTGGTAGATAGGTCGAGGGCTTTCTGAAAGTATTTTTCACATTCCTACTCTCGACGCGGCGAAACATATATGAACCATCACAGCGTGTATTTTCAACATTCCTACTTCTCGACGGCTTCCGAAAGTATTTTTAGCGTTCCCAACTCTCGACGCAGCTGAGGTCGGGTTCCGGGCGGTGACTATTTTGCGAGTCCATTTCAGTAGATAGGCCGAGGGCTTTCTGAAAGTATTTTCAACATTCCTACTCTCGACGGGGCGAAACATATATGAACCATCACAGCGTGTATGCAGAAGGGAGCCCCAAAGGTCAGATTCCAACCAACAGCTTTCAAGAGAAGGGTGGTTCACTCAACAAGGGCAAGACACGCGTGAATAGCCAGACCGGGAAAGGACTGAGTGCAAACGGTGGTCGGAGCTACTTATTTAACGCCAGCGAGGCTCAAAATAGTTGACGTCCGTTCCGGTGAACCGCTGTCCCGGGCCGCGGTGAGAGAACAACAAAACAAAACCACCTGGAGGTCGTCGCGGGACCAAAAAAATAAAATAGCACATGTTGCAGATTGAACGGGTGACCTCGCCAGGAACCGGTTTTAGCCACCTCCTGGCGAGGTCCTCCTCTCAACCATGCCACGACAGCGTGTGTTGGCCTATCAGGATGCTCCCCTTCCTCAACATGACCCGGTGGTGAAAAGCTATCACGCTGGGTACGCGTTCGGATTTCTCCGATTTACGTTCGATTGCCAGAATCCCTCGTTCGAATCGAGGTCGGGTCTTTTTCTCTTTTGTCCCGCTCAAGACTATTTTGCGGGTCCATTTCGGTGTCAAGATCTGTAAATGCGCGGGTAGCGCAGTAACCTCAGTCTCCCGCTATGTGGGATCAAAGACTATATACATATTGAATACCTGTAAATGCGTGGGTAGCGCAGTAACTACACAATAAGTAAAGAACTAAAGGAAAACTAAGTAAGAGACTCACCCTCAGTCTCCCGCTATGTGGGATCAAAGACTGAGGGAGAGGAACAGGATGGTACGGTTTATATCTACACTGTTATACATCTGACAGCTACAGTTGTGGACAAACAAAACCCGCAAATAGTCTGTAGCCTTATCTAGAATTAGTTTGGCTTCAATTTTTGTGGGATTGGGTACAGAATTGTCCAAAGAGCTCAAAAAACATGCTCCGAAGTTTTTCCTACGAGAGATTAGCGGCGCCAAAATTTCGGCCGTTCTGTGAAAAATGAATTTAAGATTTGAGTCGATTCCCGAAAAATCGATTTTGCTAGGACAGCCACACATCACGGATCAATTATTTTTGGAAGTCTGAACAACCGCCTCGATCGCATCTCCCCCAGCTCAACCCCTCCCCGGACACCTTACGTAACCGCGCGGGTTCGAACCACGGTGGTACCATTCTTTTTTTCCTTCAGTTATCTAGCTTGTTTGAGCTAGTAGCAGCAAGTTCCCGGGCAATAAGGTCCATCATATGTTTGTCTATTCAGGTGAATATGTTCAATTCCAAAGCAGCACAGACGGAGGGTGGTCCCCTCCACACTCAGGAGCCTATAAACAGGTTTTCGTATTGCTCGATTAGTCTACCTGTTGGACGCACCGTCCCTGGTAGTCCTGCGAACGCATGAGGTCGTGCGTTCGACCCCGGTGCTGCCACTCTCCCTCCCTTTTTTTTCTTCTTTCCGCCCGTGTTATTCTTTGCGAGAGCTTACTCACTCATTTGATGCATAGTTCTTTGATATTCAAGCATGGTAGGCTTTCAAAAAGTTCAATGGACCTCAGGAATTGTTTTCCGACCTTCAACATATGTTCAAAAGCAGCAAAAACCTTGGGGATACATCAAACCCCGAAAGATGTACTTATTACCCACAAAGAATGTGAAAATGATGATTTTGGAAGTCCGGAAGGTCACTGGATACAGATTCTGGCAAGGTAGGGTGTTGAGTATATTTTTATAGAGGTAATTGACATGTTCTCTTATAGGGTCAAAGAAACTGGCATTTGAACTTGAAATTGGGGACCTAGTTAGAGGCAGTATTCCAAGAATATATTTATTTCTCAGAGGTCTATTACGACTTGGAATAACCTAGATAAGCGAGGCAAAAGGGAATGACACCACCGTGGTTCGAACCCACGCGGTTACGTAAGGTGTCCGGGGAGGGGTTGAGCAAGGGGAGCTTCGAGCACGCATTGGACGTCGACAACGCGTCCAGTCACAAGGGCGCGAGAGTTCACGGCAGGGACCGGTTTCTTTTTGTTCGTGTAACGCGGATTGTTGGGGATGAGAACCTTGAACCGAATCGCACCGGGAGCCTTCAACGCCGTAATATATTGCTGGGCGTTGATCTCAAAGGTTCCATCGTGCTCGTCCGGGTTATCAACCATGCCACAGAGGTGAACAATAGTACGATGGTACGGGTTGATTTGTGTAGCAGGGCCCAGGTGGATGAGCTGCAACGATGACTGAGCATAATATTGACAGAGGGACGATGGGGACATTACCTCGAGAATATCACCGGCAAAGTGGTAGTCTCTGGTCTGCATATCGGAAAAATGCTCAACGGCGTCCGTCATTGAGGCCACCTGGCACACCGATGAGAATTGGAAGTGGACGGTGTGTGAAACGAATCTGACCTGGACCCAAAGAGAGTATGTCCCGATGGTTTCTGGGAACTCGAAACCTTTCTCGTTGTACCATCTCAAGCAAGCAACCAGTCCAGGGAGCGACCCGTTCAAGAAAACCTGTGCATCCACAACAACACTACGCTGTTTCGCTTCATCTGGAACCCTGGGGTTTTCCAAAACAGCGAGGCAATTAAAAGTAACCAAGGACATTGGCGGAAGGTGTCTGCGTGTGTGGAAGCTCAAAGAAAAATCAAAACTACACAGAACAAACAAACACCACCGAACAACGCACACTTTTACCGCCGTCGCATGGTCTCGAAAAACATCAGCGCATCGAACTCGCAGTGCCCAGACTCAGACGGCAAGTCTGGAGAGGTTGAAAATTGTGGACTGGCGGTGACGGTTTGGCTACCCTGAACAATGCAACACGAAGGTTGACTCCTTGCATAGCGCAACCGGCCGCTGGACTCGCAAGAGAGGAGTGCCGAGGAAACGGGGAATAGCCTTCTGGGCCCAAGCAACTCTCCGGTACGCGCGTTGAAATACGACTTGACTCCAAGGTTGAAAATTTGCGTAGACGGACCCCGGCACAAACACTTCCAAGTCTACCCCTACCAGCAACGTAACCTTCGGAACTGGCAGTCCAGCTGCCCCTGCTGCCCTTGGCTCGTCGAGTGCGATTGCTCCGGTACGTCAGTCCAAATAATCCTGTCGGCCAGACCTGATCAACTCTGCACAGATGGAAGGTGGTCACTGCACGTCGAATGAAACTCCCGGAAGCGCCAAGAGTCCGGCGAATGGGTCGGTGAGTTCTGCGGTCATCCACGTCTGCCTCCGAGTCCTAGTAATGATTCTTGGAGGCAACCAATCAGATCCCGGCGCCGCTGCCAGTTATTGTTGAGCAACAAAAGAGAGGGAGCCCCCATATCCACATTCTTCCCTTTCTTCAGTGAGATGTAGTGGTCGGCGGAACAACTGAGGTAAATGTGGTCTTGTTATGCATCTGCTACTATTGTACTGCTTCGATCTCGCAAAATACACGTCTTGAAACTACTCAAAAATCTGGGGGAAAACTATGTTGAGTGTTCGGTTTTCAGTGGATCTCTCTGGCAACAAAATTTTGACTCGGTGCCGCGATGTCGCTCTCGAAAGTGCGACATACAATTGACCGTGAGTAAACACCGGCATCCGCAAGTCTATCCCAACGTGCTTCACCGACTGCCCTTGAGACTTGTTGATAGAGATTGCGAATGCGAGGCGGACAGGGAACTGGAGGCGCGAGATCATGAATGCGAAATTGGAGGTGTCGCCGGTCGGGCTAAGTTTGACCCTTGGGATGAAGGCGATCTCGCCGTTGTGGATCACCGCCGAGAATTTCCACCTATGCCATCAAGCAATCCAGCAGCACCTCAGCCTCTAAATGCAGCTCCAACAGTTCCCTCAGGCAGGTTATATTCAATTTTGTCTTGTGTACTTATTTGACCAATCTTCGATAGCTCAACTATCGCCGGAGGAATTCGAACAGCTGAATACTCAGCTGCAGTACATTGATGAGCACGATGAACACGCCGATATCGCAGCAGGTGATCGGGTAATTGACGAGAGTCTTGCAGACAACCCCACTGACAATGCCGAGTCGAACGCGGCGGCGGCACAAGCAGAGACTCAAACCTCAAACCCGGTGAAAAATTCCGCAATCCACAAATATTTGCAAGGGGTGCACAACCGACTCCAACAAGAGGCTGAGGCAGATCGAAAGCACCCAATGCCCTTATGCTATAAACGGGGTGATTTTTTCGACAGACCGCAGCATCCAGTCTTTGCTATGGAGAAATCCAAGGACACTACCGGTCTCGATCCCTCAGAACTGTACTCACGTGATGTCTTCGTCTGGCTGCCTCATCTACTTCCGGGGCATCCAGATGCCTTCAAATGCACATGTGGACTCGAGTTGACACGAAACGGTGAGTTTTCATTGCTGTCACTTACCGCCTTCACTCAGCAGTGTTCTTAGGAGTCCCAGATAATCCCATTGCTCGGAGAGTCCGCGCAATGCCTAATGATTATTTCCTCTACACAAATCGCTTCATCTGCGATGCACGACTTGTCAACTTGGCTGGTTGTGGTACGAGCTTCAGAGGCACAGACCCTCACATCATTGCACAACTACCACGTCATGTCCAGACTCAAAGGTGTTGAAGGACGACATAGGACGCGGTGGAAGTAGTTAGCAGGGAATGTCACACACCCCATATATAGACCCTGCGTCGTGACAGTCAGGCTTTGGCACTGACTGTATCGACGCAGTTCCGGCAAGAACCTTCCAGCTCACAACAGGTTATGGGCCCCGTGGTATAACGTTCTTAGCCAAGCCCGTTTTTTTTCCTCTCCGAAGTCTACCGGAAAACCACACACATCTCATCTACACCATGGTCTTCGACGCATCCAAGAAAAGTTGGGAAAACCTCCGTGGCTCTCCGAGCAACTACAGTTCGTGGAAGCTCAACGTCGAGGCCGCCGCCAAAACACACCGACTGTGGCGCTCCGTCCAGGGCCGCCAAATCGAACCCGAGTACGCTGACGCCGAGGATCCGACGGCAGCGGAGCGCACCGCTCACGACGACTGGGAGGACCTTCGGGACCAGGCCGCCGGGATGCTGTGGCTCTGCATCGAGCAGGACCAGCAGGAGCACGTCAAGAACGTCCGCGCCGACCCGGTGAAAATGTGGGACGCGCTCGAGGAGCTGCACCAGGCTAAAACCGCCGCGCCGCGCTTCACTGCCCTCATCAACCTGCTCGACATCTCCCGCGACGAGGACGAAACGCTGATGAAGTTCCTCGCCCGCATCACGCTGCTCGGCACCGAGTGGCGCGAGCTCCTTCCCCATACGCTTTCCCTCAACCAGCTGGCCGAGGAGCTGCAATGCATCGCCGCCATCCGCGGCATCTCCGAATCCCACGGAGGCATCGCCTCTAACCTCATGCAGAACAATGTCCAAAAGCTGACGCTCGACGCCGTACGCACCGCCTTCTACACCGAGGACAACCGTCCCGTCATAGGCGGGACCGCCGCGTCGACCATCGCCATGCGCGCCTCGTCATACACTCCCTCCCTGACTCCGCCTTCATCCTCATCGCA